TTAGGCAACATGAAGCAGAAGTTGTTGAAAGGATCAGAGAGACTGAAAAATAGGTGTGACAGGTGAAACAGGAAAGAAAGGAGCAGAGACAGGCAAACAGTTATTTTTCTGCCGATATCCAGGGTGTCAAGAATTTGATTTCAGTATGACTAGCTTCAGTCATCTGCTCTCATGAAGAAGTGTGCATCAGAATTACTTCTAGATATAAAGACTCACAGCACTGGGGTCTCATCCCTAGATCTTTTGCAGCATAGGGTTTAGGGATCTGTGTATCTAATAAGCTCCCAAGAATGCTGATGTCACTGACCTGGGACACACTTGGAAAACCATTCTCTTTTTTAAAATAGCTTGGGCTTTGACATTCAAAAAAAAAAATCTCAATTTTCAGGTCTCTAACTTGAGGAAGGCATCTGAGGAGTGCTCAGGTCAGTATAGGGGAGTCCACAAGGAATAGACATTCCTATCTCCCAGCCCTCTGTAGCATACAGATTCTTTGCCTTAGCTGGATACTGTGGTTCAACCCTCAAAGATCTATTTTCCTTTCTAGTTCCAATAAAATTCCTTTTTAATTTGTCACTGAGCAACTCACAGCAGCCCTCCAGCAGATGAAAATTTTATCAAAGGCTCCTCAGCTCCACTCTGCAGACAATCACCTGTTCCCTCTTTCAGGGTACTTGAATAAATGCAAATATATTTTGGCACTCAAGCATATCACATTCAAATGCACCTAAGTGTGAATTTCCAAGATGCAGTTTCTGTAGCACTTCTAAAATGAAAGATGAATGTTCAATGGATCTGACAGACTAGCAAGAAGAGCAAAGGTGTCCACTGACACAAAGGTAAAAATTAATTACATTTAACAGTGACCAGCATGAAAAATATATATTACAGCAAAAATAATTTAAATAAGAAGGACTAGTTTCTAGAAATTCCAAGACAATGCTGAAGTATTTCCTGAATTACAATACACTTGATTATTGTGCCATTTCTTATTAAATGTATGGTGGCTGGAGTTGGAAGACTTAGGAGCTTTGACTCCTAAGAAAAGCTGTGATCTCTGGATAAGGCATCATGGTCAAGTATTTACCTTCTTTCTATGGACTCATTTTATGGAGCTAACAAGGGATCATGAGAGGCAGGGCACCTGAACTCTAAGTACACATTAAGAGATGGGTATGTTTAGCTCTGAAGATGAAAAGAAAGGTATCTTATGCCAGGCATCAGACAATACACAAGGAAAATTCTGTCCTATTCATGCTTACAGTTCCAGCAAACACTCTTCATTTTACTGAAAATGCTAAAGGATGAAAACCTTTCCTATTATTTAGTGGGGGGAGGGGCTATGCTATTTGAAAGGCAGTTGACTGACACAAGTTAAAAACGTTAAAAGAAGAAAAAGGGGGAAAAAAAAGACACCCTTGCCACTAATGGTGACAACCTTCTAAATTTAGACAAATCTATTAGTTGGCATTCACATGTCTTAAGTGATTTAGATAAGGAAGTTGTAATTACTACTTGTGCTTTTTTAATGGCCCAGCCAAGCACATTTCCAAATGAAAATAATTTACCAATGAAGAGACAGCTGAATACCGAATATCAGCAATAAGCTGGAAACTGGTGAAGATAGGGGAGGAGGCATGAGTAACATAAGATGAACCTGGGATGCAGTCAACGGAGGGTAATGTGGTAAGACATCATTACGATGTGGGTTGACATCCATCTGTGTTTTCTGTCCTAGATCCCTTTTGTTCTAAAAGCAGGAAACTATTAGAAAATTGTTTCTTCTGTTATGTCTTTCATGAATCCAATTAATAGTTTACGTACCAGGCCAATTCTGAAGACCAAGAAAGATGGGCCAGGAAGGATGATAGACCAATAACCACTACAGTAAGCCAGAGACTGAAGTGAGGGCAACAGGTGTGGGAGACCCAAGTGGCCTGGACTTCAGCATCTTCAGGGCTAAGGATAGAACCTATGCTTGGCTTGGAAAGCCAAAAAGATTTAACAACATATACAAGTTAAGGTTTCAGAGGGTAAAAGCATGAATGATAATGAGGGATAATGAATGGGCTGCTATACTTTTTTCAGTGTTCTGTACTAATACAGCAGCTGTCCAGCTACCCCAAGATCCATCTCCAAGAGGCTTGGCTGCCAAAAGTTAATTCAAAACACCCGACTTTGCAAAACGTACCTAAGCAGGACTGTGCAGAAATGCTCTGCAGAACTGACTTTAAAAAGCCACTTCATGGGCGAAAGCCAAGAGAGATTTTTTTAGTATAACAATACTGTTTTATTTAATCCTGCTCTCCATTTTTTCTGTTTTTAATGAAGTCCATTTTTTGTACACTTTACCATAGGCTTTATAAAAATGAAATGCTTATTGAGATAGTCTATGATCCTTGTATACTAATTCCAAACCTGTCTCCTTCCTCTCTGGCAGGGAAGATAATCTGAAGGAGGGATGTGTCAGTCCCATTTACTTCTTTTTATTCTCACTACATATATTCACACACCTCCAATTGATCATATCACTTTGTACTTTAAAAACATGTTTCAGTTTTCATTTTAAAAATATACAAACACCAAGCAAGCCAAAGCAGATAATTTTACTCCTTAATTTATGAAAGACTGCAGCTGTTTTACCATGGACAGGATATACATTAAAGAAAGAAAGCCTAGGTGAAAAAAAAAGTTGTCATCTTATTACTCTCTTGCAATGCCTGGCTCTCAATGCCATCTAGCATTCCCCTGCCCTGATACCCTGATGCTTGTTAGTGGCATTTATACTCTGTGCACAATGCTCTTACATCTTCAAATATGGTGGAGCAGTTCAGTAGCTCCACATAATACAGCAGAACTCAAGCCCAATGGATCTGAACATCACCACAGCATCATGCTAATAAAAGAATTAAGAGCATCCCATAGGGAAAGACAAGTCCTGTAATTAGCCTTCAATGTCAATTAGCTCTATGACTCTCTTAGCAAAAGTCCCATCTGAGATAGACTAAAAGATCAAAAGTTTACTTCCTCACCTGAATCACTACCCAACACTGGCATATTTTAAACTGAGCTATCTAGTTAGGTAGAAGAATAAAATAAAATAAAGTATAAAATGAAATAAAATAAAATTACTTCATGTGAGACATTTATCAACAAGCTTCAATCCAGAAAAGAATTAAGGACATAATTACAGCTATCTGAAGAACTTCTGGAAACTTATAAACTAGTGATCTTTCCTTCCAGGGCAGCATAGGAGAGAAGAATCACCCAAAGTTAAATGCTAAGTTCCACACAGATCCCACACTAGATAGTGCTCTTTAAAGAACTGGGCATTTCTAGCAAAGTACAAGGTGAGTCTAGAAGAATATCTTGCCTCAGAAGGTAAGCAAGAGCTCACAAAACAATGAGGGCAAGCCAAACGACATAGAAGCCACCTTGAAGAAACTCACAGTGGCCAAATCTAAGACAATTTAAACATTCCAAATAAATAAAGGCAAAACAGAGCAAATACTAAACATAATGCCTAACTACGTGATTCTGCTCATATAAATACATAGACAAATGGCAAGAAGAGAAAGCTTTTCCTTATAATAAAAATTCAATTGACAAATGCAGAAGAAATGATAAGAAAATCACCTTCTGCAACCACAGAATAGTAATTCAGCAAAATTAAAAAAATAGCTTCTGAAACAGTGAATCATCATGTGACAAGGGAAAGAGCACTGATAAGCAAAGTACCTTCCCAAAGCATTATCTAAAACCAAAGCCAGAGGAGGTAACTTCCCAGGGAAAAAGCCTAGCCAGCTCCACCTTTACCAAGAAACCAGAGTGAGTGCCACCAGCAGTGGTCAGATGGCAATCTGGGATGGGAGAGGAGAAAAATGCAGGGCTGTCAGAAATGAATCACATTGGAAGTGTAAGTCACTCAGTGTACAGCCTTTGCCTAGTCTGTACGAAGTCTGACCCCAGCACTGCCTGCAAACAAACACAGTATTGGTCTACTTACGAAAAACACCAGAGAAATCCTACACGTAAGCAGAGGGAGATCCTACACTGCATCCTTCACACACTTTTCAATGTCATAAAGTCCAAGAACGATCAAGGACCTGCTCTAGATTATGCAACAATACCATGCATAATGCTGGATTAATGAGAAGCAGACAGCAAAACCTGAATGGGGTCTGAGTATAACCATTCGTTTTCTAGTTGTATGACCATACTATAGATGTATGGGGAATCTCACTGGTGGAGGAAATATACACCAATGTACTCAAAGAGTGGACACTGTCATAATCGGAACCCCAACTGTCTCCTAGAAGACATGTGATCCCCTGAGTTTGGAACAGTTGGAACCTTTAAGAGGTAGTCTTCTGAAAGGTCTTCAGATGGTTACAGTGTGTGTCCCTCTTCTCTTCTGTTTTCTGGTCAAGAGGTTAAGTGATTTAATTCACCACAGGCTCAAAGTCAAGGAACTAACACTGAATGGAACGGCCTTTTTTCTTTATAATCTTATCAATTCAGCTACAGAGGGAAAAAAAAAGCAGACTAACTAACATGTAATAGTTACTTTCACATGGCTCTGTGATTTAAAAGCTCTGCACTATTTTTTACACTTTGTTTTTTTAGAATACTGATGTTGTTTAAAACAGAAAAGACATGATACCTGTCCTGTGAATATAATTATGACTACTCATAAGAAGGACATAAACATTGGAAGTAAAAGTCATAAAGGAAATCACTATACTAAATTTTCTTCTAAGAGGTATTTTTTAACTTTAAAAGTCCTCTAGTAGCTAATTCTCAAAGTTGTAAATATTCATAAATAGGTCATGTTTAATTCAACAAGACAGTGGGCATAATAAAGCAGCTCCCTAGCACGACAGAAGAGAAAACATGGAGGCAAATAGTCCTGTGTCCCTTAATCAGTAAGATGCATATGCTCCCCAATGTCAGCTTGCTTCTCAATATATACAAGATCTCTGAAAAGCAAAACCAGGTACCTTGATTTAGCGGTGTGGCATCCACAATCTGAATACCGTTCACGGAGCACTGGGACCCACTCAGGGGTATCAGAGTCACCGTTCCCCCAACATTCTCAAAGACACAGTGCTCACTCTCCAGGTCAAGACCATGAAGGACTAGAAGAGGAAAAGAAAGGAGAAAGTTGGTCCCCACTTTGGTGTCTGCTATGATGATTCCCAACTATTTATTTCATTTTCCTTTTGAACACCTTTTCTTCTCCAGAAAAGTGCTGTGGACAGTTATGTTTAGTGAGTCTATAATGTCAAGTGGCAGAGACAGAGGCATGCGTTGATGGTCACCTTAAAGGTTCTGGCTATTCTCCCTGTAACAGTGAGCTCTGCCATAGCAGCTTACTCTTCCTAATAGGAAGATGCAGTTGAGTAGCTTGCTTTACTGAGACTCTCTGCTCAATACTGACAAACTGCCACCAGTCACAGGAAGACACAAGAAAGAAAGCCTCTGTGGGTCTACGACCCATGAGCACCTCTGTACTTTCAGATAATGGCTCCCAGAAGCACAAAGCAGAGGCATGGCATGTTATAGACCTCAGGAGATCCTAGAAGCTTCCAGAGGCTTCTCTGAGGTGCCCAGTGCCACAGAATGGGCTGTTTCTGAGACCTCTGAGAGCAGCCAATTGCTGATGGTTATCTGATTATCTATGAACATCTTGGCAATGGCAGACATGAACACCTCTCAGTTTCTCAGGAGTAGCTCCCACTTTCTCTGCAGAACTGCACCACTGAATGTCTCTGGTCAGAGAACATTGTCCTTATCAATTGTCATCATTTACAGCTACTCCCAAGATCAAATGCATAATTTAAACAAGGGGCTTGCTGTAAGAGCAGACTCAAAAGTACTTGAGTCTGGGGACTTCTGGAATGGTTTTTCAGCTCTCCCCATCTCTAATAAATACTAAATGAGCAGCAATGGGCTCATTAGCATATTCTTGATAGAAAAGCAAGTTCCTCACCAGCAACTCTGAAAGTTTCTTGAAGTGGTGTAATTCTTCCCCCAATCACCATTGTGCCCCTCTACATGTATATACCAACTACCACCACATTCTCCACCACAGACTGCCTGAGGGATACTCAGAACACTGTGCAGGCTGTCATCTTCTCAGGCTGAATTGCTGGCTGGCTGTATGCCTTATGAAGACTATAGGACACCCAGAAATCCATGCCTTCTGATATGGGCCTCGTCTCATACTTTGCCATCATCTCTGTGTAGAGAACTGTCTATATCCTGCCTTTAAAAAGGTCTAGGATCCTTTATCCATGTCTGCTGGCTTATTTCCATCAATCACTGTGACAAGTACAGAGTGACAGGTGTATTGTGATTTAAATAACTATACTAGCAGGATAGAGAATGTATGTGGGGTGGCAGAAAGAAGTCATACTTCTAATTTTTTCACTGAATTAACTGTGCTTGCTATTTAATTGAGTTGTGGTCAAAATTGCAGGTATACATATACCAAGAAACATGTGTCAACATTTTCTCTTATAACTACTACAATGTCAATTAAGAAAAAGAAGATTATTTATTAAATATGGTGTTTTAAAGTCACTGAGAGATCATTCATAGAATCTTACCAATATCTTGCTCTGTTGAAGCATCTTCTCTGCCAACATAAGTCTGACCTTCCTGAGAAGAAAATTCAATAATATACATTAGTAAGTGCAGAAGAACAGTCTGCTTCTCCACTTCTCATTCCATCCTGATACATTCCGCCTGCCAGGCAACAGAATGACCAGGGTCTGGGGCATGCAATGGCCTCAGTGAACTGTGTACTGAACACTGCAGTGGTACCCTACATGGTCTAAGTTCCAGCACCAATGCAGAGGCAAACTGCTCAAAAAGGCCAAGCTCTTGCAGTCTGCTTGGGCCATCAAATTCAAGGATACTTCAGATCCTTTCTACAGATTTCCTCCTTCAGTGGACAAGGGTTTCTTTGTGTTCAAAGATGCATGATATGAGAGGTCACAAAACCCAAGACAGAACAACCTCATTTGAACAACAGATCAGAGAGAACACATTAAAGTCAAGGTCACGGAGGCAATCCTTGAGAACTGACAAGGTACTCTGCTCTGTAGAACAGTGGGAACTATTAGAACCAAGCCTGACTGTCTAACACGAAGGTCCACTTTATAATTACCAGGAATAATCAGCAATTATGCACATAACAAATCCCAGTTCTGGATCCTTGTTCCTTCCTTGGTTTTTCTGCCGTTCTTCCCCCTCTTATCTCCTTTTTTCTGATTCCACAGAAGAGAAGCCAAAATGGATGACTCATCATTTAACTTCAGAACTCTATAAACACAGGAACTTCAAATACCACTGAATCCCAATGAACTGTAGAAAATCCCCAAAGGCTCAAGGATTTGTTGTATATTCTTTAATTTAATAGTTGTATTCATGGCCATAAAGTATTCTAATAAACCTTGCTGGAGTCTAAGGGGAAATCTGGAAACAGAATTAGAATGTTCCACTTAAGCAGTTTCTACCTTCAAGTGATACAAGATGATCCCAGTACTCAGAAGGTCGTCATCAATGCCAATCAAGTGAGGCAGCTCAGAGTCCAGGACCACACCGATCCCTTCCTTCCTGAGGGCCAGAGTCTGCTCCTGAAATTAGGGAGGGAGGGAGGGAGGGAGGGAGGGAGGGAGGGAGGGAGAGAGAGAGAGAGAGAGAGAGAGAGAGAGAGAGAGAGAGAGAGAGAGAGAGAAGGAAAAGGTTACTTTGGGGACAGACAACTTCTCATTAGGTGTTCTTTAGATGTTTGAAAGAAGTCATATTTTATTTCTTATAATAAAAAACAGAAAGAAAAATGGACTTTAAATTTCATGTGGAAAACCTGGCAGGCAATAGGCAAAGTGAACTTGGAACATATAAAATGTTCAACATAAAATGAATTAAACTTTTAGCTTTATATATATATCTTTTCAAAGTCAATCTCCAGGCCCATCTCCCTTAGCAAAGACTTTACAATCACCCTCTATAAAGTAACCTTTCTTCCTTCTTCAAATCCTGTACGCTAATAGCTAGAAGTCTCTTTAATTGGCAATCCTTCTCTCTGGTCATCAGGTTGTACTGAGCATGCTCTCAAGACAACAATTCCCCGAATGAGCATAGCCTCTCTGCACCAAAGGTGCCACCCAGACCCCATACCATCTTCTTAGGAAGGCAGATCACTTCTACCTACAGCTGTAGCAGTTCTTCCCACTCCATTCATGAGGTGGTTTTAATGAGGAATGTTCCCTGGAGTCTTAGGTATTTAAACATTTAGTCCCCAGTTGGTGGCACTGTTTTGGGAGGTTTAGGTAGTAGAGCCTTGCTAGATGAAGTAAGTCACTGAGACCAGGCTTTAAGATTCAAAACTCCCTACCATTTCTAATTTGTTCTCTCCCTGCTTGCCATGGAAGGTGTGAGCTCTCAGGTTCCTACTGCCATGGCCTGTACTGTCATGTCTCCCCACAACGATGGACTCTTAGCCCTCTGAACTCTAAGTCCAAGTAAACTCTTTCTTCTACAATTCGTCTTAGTCATGATGTTTTTATCACAGCAACAGCAAAGTAACTAACACAAACCACAACTCCCATCACCTCCCTCAGCCCTGCATATCCCTCTAGCCCCTATATTTGCTTTGTGTTCCCTGAGAGAAGCATCACAAGCCCCAAATTTCCCTGTACTTTTCCAGTTCCTCCCTGCTACTCTTTTGAAATTACATCATGGAGGCTGTCAACCTTGGACTCTATTCATTCTCACTCCCTAGATGATGGACCTCATCGTGACTCTTGACTTACCACCCACCCACATGCTGAGGCCTCTTCAATCAGAATTGCCAGGACGTACCTCTCCCTTAAATTCAATACTTGCATACTTTTACCCGTCTAACTCAGTACCTCTATATAAATACTAGATTGGTAGCTCAAACTAAACACATGAAAGAACAACCAACCAAAAAACAAACCCCCTCAAGCCTGCAAACCATCCCGCCCATCTCAGCAAACGCCAATCTTCCTTACAGTTACTCAGATGAAAAACTGTAGCAACACTTCTCTCCTTTCTTTCTCTAAATTCTGCATTCAGTGTTAAATCTACCCTCAAAACACACACCAAGTCTAGTAATAGCAAACTCCTGCACTATTTTGGCCTACCCTAAAGCATCATTTCCTTTCACCTGGATTGCTGCAATGACCCAAACCATCACTTAATTCATAATCCAGCAGCCAGAGAGATGTCAGAGAGAGTAATTCAGCTCAGATACCTCTACTGTTGCTGAGAGAAAAGTTAGTCTTCATAATGCTTTACAGGTACAGCCTGGCCTCATCCCTTCCTAAGCTACATTAATTTCCTGCCACTGCCTCCTGTGGTCCCCAAACCTGCTGGCTAGCCCAACTGTAGTCATTCTTAAGCACTGGTGGATACCTGGCAGTATCCCTGGCCTCTATTCTCTAATGCTGATGATACTCTGCAACTCTCCAAGGTAGTGGCAACCAAAAATGCCTCTGAATAGTACCATGTGTCCCCTGGAGTATACAAAGAGCCTTGGTTGAGAAGCATTCCCCTTTATGTATATATAACATGCCTCATCACTTCCTTCATGTCTCAGTTCAAAGTTCCTCACTCCACCCCCCTACAAAACATCAAGGACCAGCCTTTCCCAGGCGTACCTGTTTCCCTTTTTATCAGCTCTGCAACTCACTTTTGCCAAGGGATTGCCAAGTGGGTAGGCACAAGAAGTTACAGCATTGTGTCATATATGGACTCAGAGCAATCCCCTAGAGAAGAAATTAACAGGCTTATGTCTTCACCCCATGCCCAACTGGTCCAAAACTAAATTCAAGGCTCTGGAGAAGTTCAAGGTGGGAAGCTGACAGATTCTAAAAAATTTAGGGTGTAAATTTCAGATAAACTAAGCTGTGCTGAGTCTGAACTAAATCATACCCAAGTGTGTGGCAATGTTGTAGATGTGATGGATGAACTGGGTAGCAGATCCTAGCTACTGATCAGGTTTTCCAGGCAGAGAGACTCCTAGTGAATATCTCCCCAACTCTCACCTACCATCAAGACACATTTCTCTATCTCAGAGCTGACACCTAAGTACTCTCTACCTTTATTTTTGGGAAGAATCTATGTACTATGGTGCCATTTAGTCAGGCAAATAACATACCACTTAGAATTCACTAAGCAAAATATTCTGAACCTCTCAAGCTAGTATCAAAGCAAAACTCAAATCTTAACCTTAAAGAAGTTCCTGATAAGTTCAGGGATAGGACACACAGAGTGGGGGAATCCTTTGGAACTTCCTTCTCTGGACATTAAGATTTCAAATGCACACTTGGAAACCTGAAGCCACACAAGAGGTTGATAGAGCGAAGTGATCCAGGAAGATGGGTTTAAAAAAAATACACATAAAAATCACCACTTGGAAGAAAGCAATTTAATTTAACAACCGTTAAATAGATATGCAGAGAAATGACCAATGCATAAGTTAGATTCTAGAAAAGGAAATGAAGCGTATTATTGTTCTTCAATTATTCCTCGTATCAACCAAGCTCTCATTCCATGGCTGGGAACCTCAGGCTTTGAGGTCAGGAGATTCAGTAACGTTGATGCCAAGACCCTTGCAAATCATGGCTAAAATGAGCACACTATATAGAATGAGCACTACTTCTACCTCTCCTTGGTAGGATCAATGCCTCTCCTCCTGATGATGGAATTCCAACAGAAATGAGATGCATGTGATTTCATATATATGTGTGTGTGTTTATATATATATATATATATATATATGGAGAGAGAGAGAGAGAGAAATTCAATCACATAGTTCTATCTGTAAAACAATGTCCCACTGGAAGGTCTAGTCTCTAAACCAGGTGATAATGCTTCATGAAAGCTAGAGGCTACGAGGCAATGAGTTGTTTCTACCACAGACACGAAAAGAAAAGTGACTACTCTCCTAAGTCCAGAGCCAGATGTGTTTTCTTTCTTCAAAAACCATGGATGAGAACCCCTGCCACCAGAAAATAAAATAAATAAAAAAGAAAAGAAAGAAAGAAAGAGAAAGGAAGAAAGAAAGGGGATATTTTAAATCATAACAGTTCTGACATAAACCAGAAAAATCATTTTGGATTACATCCAAGTTTACTCTAATGTTCTTTACAAAAAAAAACTGAAAATATTTTTTTTTCTTCTTTGACGTAAGTCCTATAGACTTTGGAAAGCATTGGAAATTCACAATTTTGGAACTATTGGGTCAAAAGCATTACTTGTCACCATTCATCCCAACACACACACACACACACACACACACACACACACACACACCTGTACATATGTGGCATGGGCAAAAACTGCACCCAGAAAAGTTTCCCAGGCGGGAGAGTGGGGCAGATGAATTTTTGATTAATGCTGCCCTAAAGCTCCATGACATTCAAGCTGCATTCGACTACATGATATTATAAAAGTGTCACCTCATAAAACTGAAAACGAGGGTTTAAATCATTGCTCAAGTGAAAAAGTAATTTCAGACAAAAATATCTATCACATATAAAATATTTATTGAGTGGCATCTACTGTTATACATAATTTATGAAACACCTCTTGGATAAGACAGAATGCTTAACACAACGGTGCTGGCTCCCCTCCCATAACTCCTGGCACAATGGACCTCAAAGAAAGTAATAAAATATGTAGAGTTGCAGATAGCTTACAGTGAAACAAAGCTTGGGTCAACCAAATGCATTCGCATGAAAAGGGAACCTCAGAGTGATTACAAGTGTCAGAACAGCATCAAGTCATCTTAAACAATGTGGCTCTTACATCTGCAAAAAAAAAAAAAAAATAAGCTTAATGTGTTTTGCCTCAACCTCCAGAAACCTATTCTGGAGTAAAACATTTCTGAATGTGAAATACGTGTTCAGGTATTCAGTGCTGAACATGAGACAGAGTACTTCAACCACTTTCTAGGGACTTCAAGTAAGGTAGAGGGTTGCAAGCAAGGCTTCCTGAATTCAGAGATGACCTTATAAGGATATGATATGGAGGAGGACCTTGTAGCCACCACACGATATTACAGTGAACAAGATTCAGCTTTTTAAATCATGACTTTATCTTTAGTTTCTCACATTGAGTCATATAAAATTCAACCACTTTCTTGAATAAATGTAAGACCAACAGAAAAGCGTACTGAATTGGGAGTGTAACTCAATGGCAGAGCAAGAGTTTAGCTTGCTTGAGGTCCTGGCTCATATTAAATCTGCTAAGAGGTAATAGTCATGTCAGGCTCATCTTAAATTACTCAGTGTGTGCTTGCTATTTGGTACTAGACATAATGATTTTAAAGTGTTTTTCCCCCCAAATAGTTAACAATAGATAAATGTCAGATTTTTTTTTTTTTGGAAATTTAGCCACATATTTTACCAACTAGTGACACTGTATAGCTCTGACTCACAGAAAGTGCAGTTAACCTCTGTAACCCAGAGCACAAACATAGTAAGATAGGGCCATGATGGAGACCTACATTATAGCACATGCCTAGTAATGGGTGGGAAGGGGAAAAAATATCAAGGAGACTGTAATGCTTCTATAAAAATAAAAGCCTATAGCAGAGGTTATCTTT